GTGATAACAGAAAAATTGTAGAATTCTGTACCGTGAACAAACGTTCCATTACAACTGTAGCCTACTAAAAGCGTACAATTTTGTCTGTGGGCAGTGGAGAGAGAGAGAGAAAGGGAGAGAGGAGTAGCGCGAGAATTTCCGGGCAAAACAAAATGGCGACCCGCGTAGTTCGGCTCGATTCGAAAAGTTAAATAGTCGTAGCATCTTTGTAGACAACCAAATTATTTTACTTTTGTATTTTAACATCATTTTTTAACTTTGTTTTGGTCAATTTGATCGTCCACACCGATAGACAGTATTCAGAAAGAGACAGAGAGAGAGAGAAGAGGGGAGGAGTTGATCTTGCGAGAACTTCCGGGCGGGTGAGAATAGCCACTTTCCTAATAATAATAATAATCCACCCAGAAGCAAATAAAAAAAAAAAGAACACACTAGAGGCTCTTTCAAATGCCCTTACCATGATGAAGCGATGAGATGCACAAAGGTCTACTGAATATAACAGCGTACGTAATGTACTGTGGCCACGGTGTTCAAGACTCAAGAAGATCAGATCCACCTCTTGTTTACGCCTGATAGCCTTCTTTCAGTTTCTGAGAAGTCATGCAGTATTTCCGGTTTGGTCGGTGTACATATAATTTTACATACCTCTTATACAATCCGTTTGTGGTAGGGTATATTTTTAAAGTTGTGAACGTATTTAGGCAAAGAAGAACTAGATCTAGATATCTAGATCTATAAATAAGTGGAAAATATTTTCTTTCCTTTGAAATTAGTTGTTTTTTTATATTTTAGACAATAAACAAAGACTGAAAGATATCACTACGTAGAGCAATAATTGCGACATTGAAACTAAAATCTCCTTGATTCTACCGGTTTAGTATAACTTCAATTTCATTATATTTTTCTTTTTTGAAGAGTGAACTCCAAGCACAGAGATAAGTGTAGAATTCTGTGGCTCCAAGCTTTACATGGCAACCACCTCCTCGCTCCAAGCCCCAAGCCCAAACTAGTGATGGGCAGGTATCGATACCAGGTACTCGATACTTAGATACCTACAGGTATCGGTATTGGTACCGATACCTGCTCTTAACATCGATACCTATGTATTATTTATCCCAGGGCTGCCAAAGCAAGACTTGGACTTTGAGAATTTTTTGTTTAACAAAACTGATAAGTTTTCGTAGGGGGCAAGCGTTTTAAATTAATCTAGTGATTTTTTAACAAAAATGTATCTAGTGATTTTGCAAAATCTTCACTGACAACCCTGATTTATCCTCATTGGTTTAATTTAAAGTTGCTAAAAATCTGGTAAATTGAATTGCCTTATTAGAACTCTTGTGTTTTTATTTTCCAATACTAACATTTTCTGCAAAGTTGACTTTCCTCCCATACTTTACTTAATTTTTGTTTTTATTCTCATATTTGGGTATTTATTTCTCTCTCTCTCTCTCTCTCTCTCTCTCTCTCTCTCTCTCTCTCTCTCTCTTTTACAAATAATTATTGTTTGAGTCTCAGCTAAATAGTCACAACTTGTCTAGACACGATTACCTAAATACTTGGAAAAGTATAGTTGTATTTTTGTCTTTTTTTATTACCCCCGGCGTATGTTACTAATAGCATTAAGTATCGAGGTATCGGTATCGATATCTTGAAAAAGTACTAGGTATCGACATCGATACCTAAATTGTGGTATCGGCCCTTCACTAGCCCAAACTTCCAGCTCAACTTCACTCAATGATAACAAGATGGGCCACTTCTCTCTTTGAGCCAATTAAAAAAGTGTCCTCAAAATTTGGTGGCGCCCTCTTCACAAAAGCGCACTCTTTGCGAACAGAGTTACCCTACTTGAGTTTTTAAAAATCAAAGTGAAACTAGCAAGTTTGGGGGTAAATTTCGGAAGAACGCTTTTTTAAAATGGTTACGCTGACAAAAAACCTCTACCGGAGGAAAGGGTGATGGTTTTCTTCGTTTAATTTGACTTTAGAATGAAAGGCGAGAGGTCATTAAAATAAAATAAAAATAAAACTGCGCACTGAACGTACCCGAACTGCTGATGAACAGCAGTCGATCTGCGCACGCAAGGAGGTGCTATTCCTATTCTTCTTCTGGAAAAACGAAAGAGAGCTTCAAAACAGACTACAGCGCCATCTGAAGCAAAGAGCATACTTCCTGTGGACACTTTTTTGGCTGACTGGCCCATCTTGTTATTCACTATCTTTGCTTCACTTCAAAAGCAGGGTTGTCAGATTGGCCGGTTTTTTACCAAATTTGACAAATTTGGCTTTTTTTAAAAGCAGTCATGGCCGATAGAATGCCGCTGGCCGTTTGGACGAATTTGGCCGATTTTAGCTGATTTGGACGCTATCAGGTTTTTTTTATATATAGATTTTTTCGGGGAGGGGGGGGGGTGGTTTAGAAATGAGGAATAGAAGAACAACATTAATAATGTGTTATAAAGCTTATTGTCCTCGAAAAGGCTTAAAACTTCAAGGCTCAATTAAGGACAATGCTCGGTATGCCCTTGATTGCCTTGCGATGCCAGTAGGCCAATAAGCAATGCAACAGTCGAAAGAAAATGTACGTATCGCTCGTCACATTCATCTTAACAAAACCCCGAAATCGGATGCACATCAGAATACTTGACAGTATTATGTACCAACGATCATAGAAGTAAATATAAAACTGCACGCTTAATTAAGTTTGCAGGTGACTACGCTATTATTGGAATAATAAACCTTGATGAAAAAGAGTATTTCGAATAAATAAGTATGTTTTTTAAATGGTGCAAATCAAATGTTCTAAAAGTGAACCTCTCAAAAACAAAGGAAATTATTTTTATTTCAGAAGAAAAAAACCAACAATCCCACCACTCGTAACTGAACAAGAAGCAAACACGGATTCATACAAATATCTCGATCTTAAAATCGACAACGAATTGACTTTGCAAAATCATGACGTAAACAATATCGTTGAAAAGGTAAATCAGAGGCTGGACTTTCTTAGGAAACTTAGGTCTTTCAATCTGAATCCATCCGTCCTTCAGATATTCTACACCACCACAAATTGAGAATATGATACATTTTGGTATCACTTGCTATGGTAGCAATTTGGGAAGGCAACATATCATAAAAATAAACAAGTTGATCAGAAAGGCATCAAAAACAATTGGTAGAGACCCAAGTAACTTTGAATACCTGCATAAGATACATGTTCTAAAAAAAAGGCGCACGGAAATAATGCTTGTTTAGTGACCATAGCCATCCACTGACATCGGAATTTCAACTTTATCGACCAGCAGGAAACGATACAGTTCCACAAAGCAAGAGCAGACAGATATTGACATTATTCATTCGTACCAACTGCAGTGAGTGAGGTTACTGAACACACAGTGCTACAAATGAGAGAGAGAGAGAGAGAGAGAGAGCGAGAGAGAGAGAGCGAGAGAGAGCGAGCGAGAGAGAGAGAGAGAGAGAGAGAGAGAGAGAGAGAGAGAGAGAGAGAGAGAGAAGAGAATGTTTTACGGAGCGGGTTGTCCCAGCACGTGAGACATGTATTTACTAATGTCCTGTCTTGTTTTGCGTGTATGCGTGAGTGCACTTAACCTTTATAACATCTATACTGCCATTGTTAACGACTAAGACAAAATATTTCTCCCTGCGAGATGATAATAAGGATTGTCATTGTTATTGTTCAGTTTTGTTGGCGGCTGGGGTGGTTTGCTTCTTCCTTCCTATCAAACACCGTCCTTATCTCTCCTCCTTTTTTGTGTTTAAATTGTTACTCTCTCGTAACACCTCTTTATCAAAATTTAAATCGGCACTAAAAACGCATTTGTTTCAGTCCAGCTTCAATCTGTAATTTCCGACATTCCCAATACAAATATTATTATGTTCTCTCAGTATCTATTATGTTCTCCCAGTATCGTTTATTCATGCTGTTCTGTTCTGTAAGAATTTATGACTGTGTGAATGCATCAATGTGTGCGAGGGTGTCTGGGTAAGCTTTGTGGGATTGTCTTTACTCAAGGATGTACTGAAGAGAGAGAGAGAGAGAGAGAGAGAGAGAGAGAGAGAGAGAGAGAGAGAGAGAGAGAGAGAGAGAGAGAGAGAGAGAGAGAGAGAGAGAGGATTACTATTGGAGCTGTGCGCTTCATATGTTCTTTGCATTATTGTACAGCGCATTGAGCACTTTTTTGTGGAAATGCGCTTTATAAATGCAATTTATTATTGTAACATCTGTAACCTTCGGCACTCATATAATATATGAACGTATTATGTTGCAAGTGCCGTAAACACTTACTGAAATAAAAGTCCTCAGAATCAGGGCAGAACTCTTGACTTGTCACAGGGATAAAAAAATGCCATACTAATTTTCAAGTGACACCTGCGAAATGCTAAAAAAGATTCAAATCTGACATTGTCAACATTGCCATACCAGGAGGTTAAACAAGGTCCAGGCCACACCCAGCAAAGATGAAAGCTGCACCAGCACACCTAAAGAGGCTGACATGCTGGATTTTTGTTTAATCTAACAAACACGTGGTACGGCCTAGTTGACACATAGATCTATAGGTGGGATTTAAATTTTATTATTAATTCTAAATAAGTTACTTTTTGTTTCAACAAAGTGCAAATTGTCTAGAATACGGAAAATAAAAGGCTTTACTTCCTAAAGTCCCTTTTAGAGTAGGGCCTTATACGACAAACAGCAGGCTACTTTATCGACAGTAATGTTGAACAGTTTCTGTTATCAGTAAGTGAGGAAGACTGTGAATATTACTTTATTATATTTACAAAATTTAATGTACTTAGGCTGCCGCACAGAATTCTACACTTAAGTGTAGAATTCTGTGGGCTGCCGGAATCAATGTTGCTTACCTTGTCAGTTCAATCTTTTGTCTTTTCCCCTTTAATTTTTTAATTGTGCTGTTATTTAAAGCTCCGCAAACAATAAACTGATAAAAAATACAGTCACATTTAATGTATAAAATCATACATCTAGGCATATGTAGTATAACTAGACTATAGTGTTTTATTATTTAATAAGCAGTTTAAGATTTTGCCGAATTTTGGCCGATATTTGGCCGTCGATGTGTTTTTCAATCTGGCAACCCGTTCAGAAGTCAGTCAGTCAGAAGAACATAGAACAGTCATGGCAGCTCGGGCTGGAGATGAGTTTGAAGACTCTAAGGAGTCGCCGGCATTTCTACTGGATGAAGAGGGCTTACTCGCGAAACACAGAAAGGAAAAGAAGGAACTTCAAGGTGAGACTGGGGGAAGATCGAAGAATACCGGACCACTCGTACATTATTGCGCGAGAAAGTGGGGCTGGTGGTTGGGGTGGAGGAGGGGGGAGGGTTGTGGGGGTTCAGGGGGGTCTCCCCCCTGACAAAATTTTAATGAATAGATCTACCGGTCCGAGATTCTCCATTGAGAGGTATTAAAAACGGGAAAATTATGAATTCCTAAGGTTGAGACATAGGCAAAGTCAGTCTGCTGGTCCGGTATTCTTCAATCTTACCGAGACTGGGGACGTATGCTGGGTTACTGCCAGGCCCCGGGAATTTGAAAAAAATCTCAGAGCGTCAGAGACTCGGGAATTTGAGGAAGGAAGTGCGGTGATCTTGTTTCCGTTCGCCAAAAATCGTAGGCCTACCGTTCGTTAAAGTCCACGGAGCCAAGTCCACGATCCATTTGTTTACATCCAGAGAAGAAATCCAGAAGTCTTGATGACCAAATTAGGCGACACAAAGAACAGGGATGCAACCTGACTGCAAAACATCAAATTATGGTAAGGCAAGGGACCCCACCCCCCACCCACCCGCATAACAAGACATGCGATTTAGATTAATATTAAACGTAAAAAGACGCAAACTATTTTTAGGTAAGTCGCCCATCTTGTTCGATGTCAGACCAGGATACCCCTCCGATCACGTGACTACATCTAAGTATAGCCAACTGCATGGCACCAAAGATGGAAGTGTGTATCATATATATATGATGCTTTTATCTAGCCTACACCTTTCTCTCGGAAGTTCTGATGCTGAATAGTCAGCGCGTCTGCGTTTTAAGTCGTGCAATGATTTTTGGAGCGGTTCGATCCTGGTCCCGGATAGTTGTTTTTTTCTAAGTGTATACAGACCCGGTAACCGGGAACAAAGTCACGAAGTATACAGACCCGGTAGGGGAACTCTTTTGTGATTTCGGAAAGTTTCAGCTCCCAAACCCGGTAGTGTGTGTGAGAAAGAGAGAGAGAGGCAGAGAGAGAGAGGCAGAGAAATAGAGAGGGTGACTGCTGGATTGAAATTATGACATTGTTTCTTTTCTAAGAACGAAGTGACACCGGCTTCCTGTCAGGATTGGGTTGATTTAAATCAGTTGATTTTCTAAATTTAAATCAACTTGATTTTTTAAATAAAAATCTGTGATTTAAATCACTTTTTTTTAAAATTATTTTTATTCGGTTTGTACACATTTCAACATTCAGAATTCCTTTCCTTGGTTTCATAAAACAGATATAAGGTTCAGTAGACTAATAAAATAATATAAAATCATGCTTAAAAGTCTGATTTCCCCCCTTTCACTGTAAAATAATACAGTATTCAATTTACTTTTTTTTCCATAATTGAAATCAGAGCTGGGTTGATTTAAATCAGTTGATTTAAAAAAATTTTTAATCAATTTGATTTTAAAAATAAAAATCGGTGATTTAAATCACTTTTCAAAAAAATTTATTCAGTTTTTACATATTTAAACTTTCAGAATTCCTTTCCTTGGTTTTATTTTAAACAGATTATAAGGTTTACTAGACTAATATAATCATTTAAAAAGTCTGCTTTCCCCCCTGTCACTGTAAAATAATACAGTTCTCAATTTACTTTTTTTTCATAATTGAAAACCAGGGTTGGGTTGATTTAAATCGGGTCGATTTAAATCAGTTGATTTTTAAAAATTTAAATCAACTTTATTTTAAAAATAAAACTCAGTGATTTAAATCACTTTACAAATTTTTTCTTCTGTTTTTACATCTTTAAACATTCAGAATTCCTTTCCTTGGTTTTATAAAACAGATATAAGGTTTAGTAGACTAAAATTGCCCTGTCACTGTAAGTAGTAAAATAATACAGCATTCAATTTACTTTTTTTTCATAATTGAAATTAGCATTTTCTTTTTCTTTTTAGACAAACACAAGCGCGTGCTCACACACACACTGTAATAAAAATAAAATGCAAATTTATCTCTATGCATAATTACCCCCCCCCCCCCCCCCCCTCCTTTTAGACTGACATTTTCTTCATTTTTTGTCTGTAGCCGTAATTCCCTGATATAGCAGATTAAGGCTTTCTAAAATTGCAGTTGCTTAAATTAATCATTAGTTAAAGACAATGCATTTTGCACTAAAAGAACATACTTTTAGCCACCAAAAATCCCAAACTGTGTCGACATTAAAAAAAAAAAAAATCCGATTTAAATTTAAAAAATCTGATTTAAATTTAAAAAATCAAATTTTTTTATTTTTATCAAAAAAATCACCAACCCTGCTTCCTGTCCTGCCTCACTCGTGACTCGCCTCAGGCTGGGTAGAGGTCGGGATCACTGAGGGCAATTTATGGCGTTTTGTGCAGGAGCCGAGTTTTTATTTTATGATGAATTTGAGGCCAGCCTGAAAAGTTATAGCGCTTCTAATAAATGTTTATTTCTCAAGAGGTCACCAGAAGCAATTAAAGATGGCTCGTTAGCGTGAGTCGGGGTCGGGTGGGCGGCCTGCACACGTGTGGCTGTGTGTGCGTGTCGGGGAGGTGGGGGGGGGGGGCACTATCGGTCCGGGCGTTGAACGTCGCATACGCGCGTCAGTCTTTTATCCCCTGGCAACTGATCATATTACAATAAGCTAGTCTTGACGTAGATCTACGTAATGAATTGTGCGCTGGTCTACGGAATCAAAAGTTGCCGTAGCTCGGCTCTACACAGCAACACAACTTTTTCTTGGTAAATAATCGAGATGACACAGGCTTGTCAGTGTATTTGAACGAATCGGTCTTTATTTTTTTACACAGCTCATAATGTGCAGGTGCCAGGTGGTCTGCTAATTTTCAATTTTACCTTTTACTACAACAAAGAAAGTGGGAAACGTGGGGGGGGGGGGGCGTATCAATGAGCCGGCGGGCATTGGATCGGCAGATAAGGTGTGAGCAAGGAGTTTAGAACTAATGGAGCCTCCTCTCTCTCTTCGCGGCGCCACGAGCAGTACACCGCGTTGGGGATCAAATATGGCCGCCGACTGTGGGCTAAATCACGAACTGTGGCGTTTCTTTTTATAGAATCTTATCTGGCTGGGCCACGTTGTGGGGGTGGGCGTGGCGGGGGAATGCATGCAAGGAAGAGGGGATGGGGCTTGGATGAAAGAAGAGGGGCGGGCCTTGGGAAGTGACGAAGGAGAATGGGAAAAATTAAATAGAGAGAGAGAGAGACAGACAGACAGAGAGAGAGAGAGAGAGATTGTGATCAACTGACGGGCTGACGGATAATGACTGGGAGAAAAAAATAATAAATTCTGTGTGTGATACAGACTGTTCAATTCTTTAAGAGTTTTATGTTATAATCTAGTTTAAAAATAAAAAAGATGTGTAAAATAAGAAAAAAAACTTGTCCGAGTAACATAAGATTATCAAACATACCAAATTATAAAGATAATCTTTCAAGATGTTAAAATATTTAATTATAAGAAAAGGACAAAAATATACTTTTAAACTGAAATTAAGATATGATTGCATGATTCTAGGTGTGTGCCATAACTAAATTTATGTGTAAGGAATAGTGAACACAAAAGAGGGTCGATGCCAGCTTTATCTGATTGCTAACAGTATGTCTTGGTCTATAAAGATTAGAGAATAATATTATTTATTACAATAATTTTGTTTCCTGGTTTTCACAAAGTGGAGCGCACAATGATTTCAAATATAATTTTTATTTTAAAAAAAGAGATAACAGCACCTTTGGAGGTGTGATCGCATGCATGAGCGTGGATGACCTTTGAAGGGTTTTTTTTGTTTTGTTCAGTAAAGTATGATATAATAATATAATATGGAAAGCAGCGTTTTTAGTCCCTGCCTTATTACACTCCAGAGGGGGATAATTTATCTTAGTGATGACTCTTGTGTAGTAAAATTTGTTGTTGCTTCGTTTGGTTTATTTTTTAACAGCAGAATCTTAAGTGAACCGGAATGATTGATTGTGGGATCTCAGGTGAAGACTACAACAATAGAATTAAACCGAGTATAGTTCTATATATAACAAGACTCACACTCTTATCCACCCCACCCTACCCTCTCCCCTCATCTGATATGGTGTGGTGTTTCTTTAACTTTAACATAAAAAATATTCATCATTATTGTTGTTGAGTATTGATTTCATATTCTAATGGAGCCTCTAGATATCTACATTTAGACAACAGTAGCATTTAGTTTCCACACACAATGGAAAGCAATATCTTTAATTAAAATGTATAATATGTATATAAAATAAATACACACAACATACATAATATTTATATGTATACGCATATATAATAATTATATATATTATATATAAGAATAAGAATACTTTTTAAAAATTGAGTATCTCTGTCTTTCTGCTGGGGTGTTGTATCCCTTTCAGCCTGGGTTGGCCTTGGCAGGTAGCGCCGGAGCCAGCCTCTTATGAATGTTAAATTGTGTTGCTGGGGGCATAAAAACACTTTTATTCAAATTTTTTAAAAGGAAAAAAACTTTACTGTGAAAACTTCGGTCCACTGCAGCATCATATCGGTTTTTACACTTAAATACAACACAGGTGCAAGGCATTTTTACTAATTGACTTGCCTAATCTCAAGGATCTCGGAATAAAACCTTCTTTCTTATCTAGATTTCAGTGCGTACGCGCAGCGCAGGTAGACCACAGTTCCGCCGCGAGAGAGGGCTCCTATCAGGCGTGCGGTGCCGCCCACAGAGCATCCTCCATTACTTTTAATCTCCTTGGGTGTGAGGGAAACTAAAAAATGGCGAAAAATTGGAAGCACTGAACTTTAGACCTATAGAACGAAGACACTTCCTTTTTTCCGGACCCGAGTCCAAATAACATTTTTTCATATTCGGACTGGAGTCGGAATAAGAATTTTTTTGATTTGGACTCGAGTCAGAATATGAAAAAATGTTATTCGGACTCGAGTCCGAATAAAGACGGCCTTTCTTCAAGTTTTGATTCCTCCAACTCCAAAACAGAGGA